AGGTCCTGGTCACAAGAATGCAGTGGCAGCCCTGCTAAGAGGCCTATGGGAGACCTCTAGAGATGGCTTAAAGGACTCCATTCATCCTTGCCCTTTCATCTTTTATGTGCAGCAATTCCACAAGGACAGGAAGGAGCAAAACACTGTGTTTGTCAAGGCTCATTTCTAATCAGAGAAGCCACCTTGTCAGCTAGTATCAAACCCCAGTCAGAACACAAACCTTGCTCTTCCCTGTGGAGCTATTTTGGCTATGTTTTTCATAAGACACTCAAAGATCTCAGAGCCTAATTTTCCAGAAGAGAATAATAATGGGGGGTCTTGGTGATCCTTCTGGGAGACATGAGACTGCATACCCAATTGGCTCTTTGGGTAAAGGGGTAGTACAAACTCCCCTGGACCAGACATTGCTACTCCCTTGGCTAGTGATTCATGAACAATGGCAACAACTTGGGAACTGGAGGCCTGGTGCTTTAATGAGGCTTTGTTCTGGCTCACCAGGAATTAGAGAAGGCATTAGAGATGTGGACAAACAGAGATGTGGTCACCAAGTTACCAAATAGGAAATGGTAAACAGAGTAAGTGTAAAGTGTGGTGAGATACAGGGGGCTGGACATGAACTTTTCTCCCAAAATTACTGGAAGAATCATACTATACTCTGAGTAAAACAGCTCTGGGCTCTGCCATGGCTTTTTGTGGTACTAGGACTAAATATTGATATGCAAATTAGTAACTCTGGCAGGTAGACCATGAGGTCAGGAGGTCACCCTCCAAAGAAAACCAAAAGTCTAGACTCTCTCTTCTGTGCAGAAACTAAGAGGGGAGATGCAGCCCCAGAGGATAAAAATGAACTCTTTGGACCAAGAAAGCCAAAGGGCACTGCTTTCTATCTTCACTTTGGTTGGAGGGTGGGGGTACAGTCAGTAAATCCATAAAAGTATAAATTAATGTTTATAAGCCTATGCTAAAAAGACAGTTTATGATTAAAGTTTAAATTATCTAGGAAAAATTAAAAAGTAAAAATAAACAAATTATCTAGGGCCTGGAGATGTAACTCAGTGGAACAGTGCTAGTCTAGCAGGTGTGAGGACCTGGGTTCCATCCCCAGAATTGAGGGTAAAAGGATCTTTTTCTGCCTTGAGATCAAAAGAGCTTTATGTATATATGTATAGATATATATCTGTGTATCTATCTATCTATCTATATATAGATTATATCTATATATTTTTTTCATACATAGGATGTTGCACACACTAGGCAAATGCTGTCACTGGACAGCATTCCCAACCTTTCTATTGTTCACATGAGGTCTTGCTATGTAGCCCATGTGGGTTGGCACTTGTCATTCTCCCACCTCAGTCTCCAGAGTAGCTGGGATTACAGTCATGTGCCATGCTGGCTTGTTATTGCCCAGCATAAGTCATCACTGAAAATGGGTCCAACTAGTAGGGCTGGCCCATACCATGGATATCAGATGTTTACAACTATGTGCAAGGTCTATCTCATGGGCTCTGAAGCCATGGAGATGGTATTAAAAATGTGAGGGGCTGGGGATTTAGCTCAGTGGCATAAGCGCCTGCTTTACAAGTGTGCAGTCGTGAGTTTGATCCCTGGTACCGACAAAAACGAAAAAGACAAAAAAAAAAAAAAAAAAAAAAAAAAAGTGAGGCAAGGGCACGCTCCCCAGGACCTCTTACCGCTGCACACATTCCTTCACCACCTCATACTGGCCAATGGAAGCTGCTGTGTGAAGATCCAGGGGCACATCTAGCTCCTCTCGGCTGACCTGCGTCCCCAGCCCATGCCACATGGACAAACTGCAGTTCAGGAGTTCCGGCTCACTGGCTTCATCGCTGAGCTCAGACATGCCTGCAGAGGAAGGCCCAGGAGTTAGGTCTTCCTGGCTGTTCCAGAAAATGAAATGGCTGACCCTACTCCTATAGATCTCAGGTGTATTACTAAGCTATTAGATGTATTAAGCTATTATGCTCAGATGTATGTATTACAGAAGAAGACTCTCCAAAAGCTGCTTATTGTATAATCCATTTACAGGACATTCTGGGAAAGACAAAACTGAAGTTGGAGGCTAGGTCAATAGTACCAAAACGGGGAGGGGGGACCCCAAAGCAGAAGCAACAGAGAATTTGAGGGACACTGGATGTATTCTGCATCCTATGATGGTGGATATATGACTTTACACATTTGTCAAAACTCACAGACCTAAAACCCCAAATGAATTTTACAGTAAGTATTAAATATAAATTATTTTTCTAGAAAATAGAAAGAAAGCTCCTAGCACAAAAACTAGGATGCAATTTGTAATGAAAATATTGAGCAACAATCTACCTATGCATCCCCTAATAATGAAAGGGTAAAAGGAAAAATGTGACAGGCTGGTAAACTAGTAAGTAGACAAGAGCCCCAAAATGTGATACCAGTAATGACACACCAGGTTACTAAATCTGTGGTTATGAGTGCCTGACATCAAGCAGCACCCTCACTTTGCAGGTTAAAATCCTTATCCTGAACAGTCCCGGCCAACAGAGCCTGGATAAGAATCCGGAAAAGCTTACAACAGATCCTCCAGCCTTCTTTGAGTGTTTCTTCCACTTCAAAAGTTTTCTTCCTCTCCATTTATTAGACACTCACATCTGACAGCCCCAAAATACTGAATGCTGACAATCAGAAACAAAATCAGTCTCCAGAAAACTATGGAGGAAAACTCAGAGGTCATGAGATCAAAAATCTATAATTTATCACCGTTCCTATGGCAAACGTTTTCCAGTGATGTACGAAACATTCATGTGCATATTTGTACACAACTTGTGAGTGTCGTCTGCACCTCTCTTCCAGAACTTCAGGTAGTAGCATTAGAGAATGGGGTCATTTAATTTTTTTCCCCAGTGCTGAGGAAGGAAAAGCGGGTCTCGCACACTACAGGCAAGCGCGTGGCCTCTGAGCCACACCCCCAGCCCGGAATCTTTTAATTTTCACTCTCCTTTTTGGTTCTGTCCAGTTCATAAAATGTTAAGCACCTATTACTTTTAAAGTAGAAAAGTATAACTAAATACAAATAATGTTCGTGGTGGCAGTCGTGCCTAAGAGAGGAGGCCGGTAAAACCCAGAGCTGCCCTTGCGAACTCCCGGGTGGCACCAGAGAGCAGCTCGCAGTCCCGTCCTCAAATCCCGCAACACTAGTGCCGAACCACCGGCTCAGAAGATGCAGACACCTGGAGGGGCCGGCACGCCCCCAAGCCTACCTGCGCTGTCCTCAGTTTTAGGCCACGCTCCTGCAGCCGCTGCAACCGCCCCACACCTTTGGCAGCCAACGCCCCGGTACCAGGCCTAAGGCCCGGCCCTCCCCGGAAGTAAACTGCAGGAGCGCGCGGAGCACACTGGGATGTTACCGACGAGATGGAATTGGTCGTTGGGCGCCAGAGTCTTCCAGTCGGCTCGCCCAGATGGCTGCTGACATCTGTAACAACCAATGAACGGGAAGATCTCTCAGACACGCTCCCTCTGGGGAGAGGGAAGCCAATCCTAATGCAGAACGGTAGGCCACGCCCATCTCGGAAGACCCTGGGAGAGCGTTGAAGGGCGGGTCTCAGGGACTAAAGCTAGCGCGGGACGGTCAGGAGTCTGTTGGCCAGGTCGGAACCACTGGAGGGCGGGCGGAGGGTGGTGCTGGGCCTGAACAACCCCTGAGATAGACATGAGGAGCGGGGCAGGACGTGGGAGTGGGCCTGGAGAATAACAGACATTCCTCTTTCTCAAGGCTGGAATTAAAAAACTAGAGCGGAGGTCTGGTGGCGTCTAGTTGTCTTGGCAACCGACGCTTTGCGGCAGTCGGCGGAGTTAAAGGGCTGCAGCGGAGGTGGGGGCGGAGCTCAGGAGGGGACGCAGAGGCTGCGCTTCAGCTTCGTGTTAGGACCGTCACGATCGAGTTAGTTTTTGTCGCAGTTTCCCAGGAACGTTTTGGGCATTCCCACTCATAAACTACTACAGATATTCTTCTCCTTGCCAGTTTTCTTTTCCTCCCCTCAGTCTGTGGCGGCCCCCTCACCTTGGTGATTTAGTTGCCCTGAGATGTACAGTACTATACCCTGAAGTTCCAAGCAGAGTCCCGGTTCTCCAGTACACTCCCTGAGGTGTGTACCAGGAGAGTTACCACCTGCTGCTCCCCGTTCGGTACGCTCTAAGCAACAGCTCAAGCTCTGAGAAGCACAAAAGACGCAGGAAACCTCTGCTCGCGTCTCCTGCTGCTGCCCTGATGGGGGCACGGACTGCCAACTTTCTCACACAGTAGCCTCTTAGCCAGAGGGTTCTCCAGACCTCTGCCCACATTCCTAAAGCCTTGCTCCCCGCCTCAGGGCCCAGCGGTCTTTTTAGACTGGGATACGAAGGGGCGGGGGGCTGATCCGAATGGTAACTCTATACAAAATCTCTTTAAGACTCCAAAATTGCACATCTATTGCTTTGTAGTGAGGCTGAGCTGGGAGTATAGCTCAGTAGTAGAGGCCTGAGGCCCTGGCTTCCATCTCAAGTACCATTAAAGGAAAAAAAAGTAACAGGACTTAGGATTCCCAATTTGACTCACATTCTCTTCATCATTTATAAACTTCTCTAAGTCTATAATGTGGACACAATAGTACCTATGTTATATATGTATACCTACATGCCACTGTGTATCACATATCTGTATCGTGTCACACATATATCCGTATATCAAGTACATATATCTGTATACCACGTATATGTCTGTTTTCACATACAGATGCTGTTTCTGTAGGCTCCACACTAGTACACATGCTCAAACACGTGTGCACACACATAGTCACCAGTAACAGCAACTGGAAGAACCTGAAGTAAACAGGTAGGAGGTAAAGGTATTTGAGTCCATTTTGCTATCCTGCAGTGGTTGAAGCTTTGGAAAGGCAGCCTCTCATCTATTGACCTCGGCTGCTGGCCCCATCCACCCACCCTGTGTGCTCTGCAGATCTCAGATGATTGTGCGCAAAGAGAGCATCCCATGAGCCTGGCTCCCATGGCATCCAAAGACAAAAATGCAGCGCCTTCGCTGGACTCCCCCTGGGACGCCATCCTCCAGGCTGCCAAAGACCAGCTGCCATCCTTGGACTCCGAATCCTCCTTGGTGAGCAAGGGCTTTCTTCTAAGTGCTGAGTGCCCTTTCTTCCCATGACGAGCATGAGGCCAGCCAAGGACAGCTTGGAGCACTGTTCTCTGCAGACTTCCTTCCACTCCATGGAGTTTGTTTTCCTATTACTTTCAATCTGCTGGCTTTATAGGTGTTTCCTACTTCCCATTTCCTTCCTTCCTTCTGCATTTGTCAGTAATCTCTGAATACATGTGTTGGTGCTTACATCCACCATCTTAGTGGTGGTTCTGGGCCCCACCTGTTCTTGACAAGGTCAGCAACCGAAGTAGTGACCATTCCAGTGCATTGTGATAAGCTCTTGGAGGTTTTCTGCAGTTGTGGTTTGAGTCATCTGAGGTGGCCCTTGAGGATTCTTGACACCAGTAACTCCTGTGCCTATTCTCAGTGATAACCTCACTCCATGTGACAGTTCAGGGGCTCTCAGCACACACTCTGGCACTGGGCACTTACAGCAAAGGCAAGGGTTTTAAAAGGGGCCATATTGAGGTTTTTCCTGCACATCTGTTGGGAATATGAATGTGACAAGAGCTTCCAGGTATTCAGGGCCAATCTGGGCACAGCAAGGTGAAGCAGTGGGTAAGGCAATCCCAGTGTATAGATCACTTCCACATCTTCTGATGTCCCTGTAAGATGGAGGACAAATGGCTCCCTTTAGAGACAGCACACTAACGCTCCACATCACATCACATCACATCACTAGGTGGTGGCTCAAGGTAGGGAGACCGCTAGACTCTGCTCTCGGTCACCCCAACCCTGCTATCCCCTTAACCCTACTCCAACCCTGAATGCTGTTATTCAGCACCAGATACTAATACATTACCTGCCGTGTATGAGGTCTGGGGTGTGGTGGGCACTTACAAACAAGAAACCCTGATCTCAGTCCTATGGGGTGGTATTGCCAAGCTTGTGTCTGAATCAGTGGCAGGAAGCAGTGGAGGGCAGACATCTCTCTCTGAGTAGCAGGGCTGGGGGGCTCAGATGCTGCTATGTTACCCAAGTTCCATTGTCTGCCCACAGTCGGACTTTGAGGAAGAGGAGCCATTCATCTTCCAACGAAACCAACCTGTCCTGATTCCAGACCTGGCAGAGGAGCTGGCTGAAGACCCTGGTGGTAGTGACAAATCTGAGACCTGGGTCCTTGGAGCCAAAAGGCCTCCGCCTGAGGTCTGTAGGACACAGCCTAAGGGAAGCCATTAAGCCTGGCATCTTGCTGGCAGAAGGGAGTATGTCCACAGCTCTCAGGGCACTGTAAATATCAGTACGGGTCTAGAGTGTCTAAAACCACTGGTCTGCTACACTCGGTCCTTCCTCCTTCAGGACAAACCATAGTATTTAAGTGCCCAACTGTTCAGCAGCTCTTTTCCCTAGGACACCCAGCACACTTGCTTCTGTCTGATTCTGTTCTCTTCTCCCCTTCATCTATTCTTCTCCTTTCCTGTTTTCTACCAAGACACTTTGCACTGTCTGGTCATTGTCACAGCTACCTGTTGTAATATCTCTCCATAGCCTGCCTGGCTTCACATGGAACCTGGAGAATAAGCAGAAGTTCCTAGACATTTGTTCAACTATGAAAGGCTCCAGAGGGGAGAAGGTCCTCCATTAATCCTCCAGCAGACATGCATGCTGCTACCCAAGGCACAATTAGAAAAGGCCACAGCGCAGTCTCTACACCTGCTAGGCGTAGTAATTGCCAACATCAGATCCGGTTTCTCTGTCTCCCCACTTCCCAGGACCCTGGGGAAGAGAAGGAACTCTAGCTAAGCTTAATGATTTAATGCTGAAAATGAATTACTTTTATAAACAGAACCCATTCATCAGCTATCATCCCTGAGCAGCCCCTTATATTTGCCCTTTGATGTGAGCTTTGAGCGGTCGTGGTTAAATGTCTAGGTTTCCAATGAAAACTCTGTAAATGTTCTCACTTCCATAATGGGGTTTGGGAGGTGGGGTGAGTGGTTTCAGGAGTACCTGGCTCTGTGTTGACCCAGCTCAGTTGTGCCCAGCATCATTTACCAGGTGAATGGGGCTCACCATACTAGCTTAACGAAATCACGTAACCCATAGCACCTGCTAGCACAGCCATGCCTAGCAGCAGGTCTGAAGAAGCTCCAAACAAGAAATTTCCAGGGCAGCCAGGACCCTGCATTAGTTAAGGTGACACAGTTTTTATGTGACTGTTTTGAGTCTTTTTCACTCCTAGTTATTTTGGCATTTCTTCTGGGCATTTTTGTTTTGTTTTGTTTTCCAATTTGGGCAGGAGGAAGGGGAATAAGGAGTGACTGCTGATGAATATAGGGTTTCTGCTTGGGGAAGTAGAAGAGTTTTGGAATTCATAGGAATGGCCATGAAACTGTATATTTAAAACGGTTAAAATGAGAAGTAATATGCTGCATACATATTTCACCTAAATAAACAGTTCTGAGCCATGCATTTGTGGATGCTAGCAGAGAACACATGTTATCTCAACAGCCAGTTGTAGAGCCTATGGGACTCACTGCAGAACCTGGGAGTGAACAGAACGCAAGGACAAAGGAGTGGGCCTCTTGGGAAGGAAGGCGACCTGGCCAGACGCTCGAGAACTGTGCTGACACCCACACTCTTCCTTGGACAGCTGAAGAGACCCCTGTCTGGTGGGAAGGTGACCTTGGGAACCTGTCCTTCAACGCCAAAGGATTCCAGAATCCTCCCCCAGATCTGCAGGGAGAAGCTGCTCTTGTCCCTGAAGGAAGGCCAAAGACAGAGTCCCTGGGCGCTGCCAGGCAAGAATGTGCAAATCGCAAAGCCCTCCGCCAAGAGAGGAGGAGGAGGATAGAAAAAGATGTGCTCCAGAAAGTAACCTGGGGTCCCCAGGGTCCAGCCTGCGGTGACCAAGGCCAAGCTGCGGAGTTAGGTCCCAAGTTAGTGGCCCAATTGAAGGAGCCCTGGGAAGGCCAGCCGATACTCTCGCTCGAGGTAGGTGTCTCCACTGCCCAGTCCTCTCTCAGACCTATCCCCTGCAGCATGCAGTGGCTTGGGGGTCCTGGGTCCATCAATGGACTGGCAGCCTGCCTGTCTCAGAGAGTGAGTGATGGGGCCAGGAGCTCACCTTAAAGTGGGTTAATAAAAACACAGAAGAGCAAGCAGATTCTGCCTTCTTTAGAGAGAAAACAAAAAGAATGCTGATCCCAAGGGCGTGTTTCTAAGTACCTACAGCCACGTGTAAAGTATAGTTAGGCACTGTCAGAACAATAATCTCCAAATGGGGAAGCCGTCATTCTTACCCAAAAGAAGCACTTGTTCATATTGGAGTCAGCACATGAATGAGGGAACCAACAGGGTGATAAAGGGATTAGGAAACTAGGTGTAGTCGTATATGCCTGTAATCCCAGCACTTTGCTGAGGCTGAGGAGGGGGATTGTAAATTAGAGCCCAGTTTAGCAATTTTAGTGAAATTTTGTCTCAAAATGAGTAAAAGGGCTGGAGGTAGAGCTCAGTGGAAAGGTTCTGGGTTCAACCCCCAGTACCAAAAAAGGAGGCAGGCTAGGAGAGACATACTTTGTGAAATAAAATGAGAAGGAAATGGGAAGAGATGATTGCAGAATAGGGGGTCAGTGTCCTACAGAATGACACAAAGGTGACCTCTGGTCACTGAACAGAAAAAGAACCCCCACACACAGCACCACACACACACAGTTATAAAGTGGACCCTGGTCAGCTATACAAGCCAGCTCACTCTCCATGTACAGGTGGGCCTCCGGGAAGAGGCTCCAGCATGGCATGCATACACCAGGTAATTTTTCTTTTTGTGTTATTTTTAATTTTTTAAAATTTTGAGACAGGGCCTTGCTGAGTTGATCAGGCTGGGCTTGAACTCGTAATGCTCCTCCCTCAGCCTCCCAGAGTACTGGGATTACCAGTATGTACCCCCATGCCTGATTCAGATAATTTTTCTTCACAACATGGAGAAAACTAGTACCAAGGAACACACAGAATTCTTTTTATCCCTATGTACACGAGCAACCCTTTCCTTTCTGCTCGCCCTGAACAATTTTTCTCATGTATAGGACTGCAAGAAGTGAGGTCATGTATAATAAACACTCACTTTTGCTGCAGGTGTAACTCAGTGTTAGAAAACTTGCCTAGTATACACGGGGCCCTATACAGGGTCCTTCTTGGCCCGGGAAGTTATACTTGTAATCCCCATGGAAATGTACTGGAATTCTAATAAATTAATTCCAGTCTACCACTTTCAGTGCACCCATGGTAAGAATAAAGACCCTAAGACATACTCATGTTACAGGGAGCCAAGGGGTTCTAAGTCCAGCCAGAGTGAAGGTTCACTTGAACAAAAGCGTTGACCCAGGGTCCAACCTGCATTTTATTAATGCATGAAGAAGGGAGTGGCTTGAGGATGAGTGACTGTGAGAAATGTGGGAAATATGTGAGCATTGTGAGTTGGACTAGTTAGGAGGCCTGAAAGCACCTCTGCAGTATGTAGAGAGACCAATCTGTATAACACAGTTGAGGTACCATCCAATGTTTTGGGATATGCTTCAGGTCCGATGTGTAAACTTTTCTGCCCTGGGAAGTCAGAGCCTCTCATCTCAAGTTTGGCTCAATCCCAGTTAACAGCATAGAGCCTCGGCTCTTAATCCCACCTGGCTCAACCATGTTTTTTGGGAGTCATGGGGACTGTCACCTAGCTTCAAGGATTATGCAACAGCACTTCAGCCAGTCCTATTTACATTGCTTAGAGCCAGTGGAAAGGAAAAAGAAAGACCTGGCCAGCTCTGTACACATCACTACATGGAGACAGAGCCATGGTTAGCTAAAATGGAGATACTTGCTCTTTATTCAAAGAGAGTCATCCACAAAGCCCTAGGTCGCATTCCCAGTACCCTGAAAGAAGACATTCTCAGTTAACTCCCCGCCATCACATCCTGTCTTCTCCTGGCCTAGTTTTTCTCTTGGAGCCCTTGGTATGACCACCTGTTTCTTTTTTCTTTTATTGGCACTGGAACTTGAATTCACAACCTTGCACTTGGCAGGCAGGCACTTATGCCACTGAGCTATACCCCTGGCTGCCAACTACTTGTTTTTTAAAAGAGCATTTTTTAAAGTTCCAAACATCTCAAACCTGTATGAACCTAAGCAGTTATAAAACAATGCAGGATTTCCTCCAGTTCAAACATTTTTGTGGCCCAAAACAACAACAAAAATTTACAAATTCTCTGATGAATTTGATCATTATGTGTATCCAAAATGTACCAATAGAATCTGGTTGAAGGAAAAAAGTACTGACATAAAGAAAGCTTGAGAGAAGCCTCAAAACACACAGGTTCTGCCTTGCAGGTGTTTGGCTGTAATCATCATAAGGGAGCATGTGTGCATTTGTGGGCATGCATTTGACCCTCGATTTCAACCCTACCACACCCATGAGGGGCACTCCTTGTCCCAGCAGCTGTGAAAGCTGCCTCTGGGACCCTGGGGCAGCACTGTAATCACCAGCTTCATTGTTTCAGCAACTAGAAGAGTGGGATTTGGATTACATCCTTCAGAGTCTGCCAGCGAGAGAAGACAACCAGGGAAATTGTGCACCCAGAAGCGCGTGGTGGGCAGCTGACCGCTACCAAGGCCAAGGTCTGACTGAATGCTACAGCCCAAGTGAACCCCACAAGAAGTTCCTTCTAGGGCCTCAGTGACACAGGGCTGTGGTCTAGGCACAGTCAGCCCGTGGTCATATTTTCCTCTGTGCTTGCTGGGCCTCTTGCTGCCCTAAGCCTTGTGCTGACTGTCCTTGCAAGACTTCATGCATTCATTCAACATACATATGGTTTCCTGCTGTGTATCAGGTGTGTCTCAGCTTCAGGACCTTTTTATTCTCTCCCCTCCCTTCTTGAGCTTGCCCCCTTTCCTCCCAGGGAAGATTAGTCAGAGGAAGGTCACTCTTAGCTCTTTTGATCCTTCAGTCAGCACTTTTGCACACTTCTGCATCCCCGGCTCACAGAAGGATGTTCACTGTCACTGCACTTGTCACTGACCTAGCTCTGCGCAGTTGTGCAGACAACACAGAAACCCTCTACCACCCTCCCCTCTCAGTAGAGTCCACAATAGCAAGGCGGGGCTACAGCTGAGGAGCAAGGCAGATGCCAAAGTTCCAGCTCCAGTTCCACAGCAAAGGCCCACAGCAACTGTGCTCTTTTTCAGCAGTTTTACTGGTAATTCAGACCCCTTATGCAGGATGTAGAGAAGCAGACCCTCCTGATGCTGAGCAGATATAGGTGTAATAGACACTTTCTGAAGAACAGTGTGGCAGAATCTAGTGTTTATTTATTTGACACATGGTCTTGCTATGTAGTTCAGGCTGGCCTTGAACTTGCAACATCTACTTGAATGCTAGGTTCATACGTATGTGCCATCATGCCTAACACAAGGCCCTATTGTTAAGGCAAATAACCCTTAAATCAGGCTGTTCTGTTTTGTATCACTTCCTGTTTGTTTTGGTTTTCTTTTTGAGACAATGTAGCCCAGATAAGCCTTGAACTCACAGTAACACTCCTGCCTGTTATCTGAATACTAGGATCACAGGTGTGGGGTATCACACCCAGCTCAAACTACTGCATTTTGAAAACTCTCTCCTAACCATATACCTTAGTGGGTAAGAGTGTGTATCAAAGGATGTTGGCTACAGTGTTCTTTAAAATTAAGAAAACTTGGAGGCTGGGCATGGTGGTGCATGCCTATAATCCCAGTTCTTGGAGCATGAGGCAGGAGGATCACCAGGAGCTGAGGTCAGCCTAAAGTACACAGTGAGTTCAAGATCAGTTTGAACTACATAGCAAAACCCTGTTTCAAAACAGGCCCTCTTACTTCATGAAGTTCACACACACAACCTCTATTCATAAGGACTGCTACCCTACTCAGCCAGAGGAGCCTTATAAAAGGCTGGGGTGGGACAGATATGGTTAAGCCTGAGGTGCACACACTAGGAGACTCAAATATCCTAGGGCTCAAGCTGCTGTAAATCAAAGGGGGCCAAGTCCCCACTAAGCGGTGTCCTCTCCTCTGCTGTCCCAGACCGCACTGTGCCACAATCCCAGGACAGGCTTCTGGAGCAGCTGGTCCTCCTGTGTGCCACACAGCATGGAGCCCCCACCTCTGCCCAGAAGGTGCCTGCCCACATGCCCAAAGACACCAAAAAACAGGAGGCTGGAAGCAGGTGAGTTGGCACCAGCCATGGCCTGTTGTCTCCCGACTGGCCCGCATCAGGCAGCACATTAGGCCTTCTGTGTATGAGGCACTTGATAAACTGGATCAGGCCGGCAGCACTAGAATCTGAGGCTTGGAGGAGTTGCTTTTTCTGTTCTACACATGGCAGAGCTGAGTTGAGCCCCTGAAGTACCTGCCCCAAACCTACAGGACCTCCTCCTGTTGTCCACTTAGTTCCCCTAAAAGTAGTGCCTTCTGCTCGCACCATGCTAATGGTTCTAGCTGTGGGCTTGTGTCCCCCAACCAGGCCCAGCTTTTTCCTCGAGATTTGCCCACCTCTGTGTTCCTGTGCTATTGGCAGCCACCTGTGGTTCCACATGGAAAAGTTGAAGTAGAGATAGAGCCTCGCTGTACCTGTCCCCTCCCACACTGGTGGTTCCACCCTTTTAGGTACCTCGGGAGTCAGTGCATTAGCTTCTCTCCTCACCCAACTGTTTTCCCATTGGTGTGCCCAGTGAGCAAAAGTATCTAATAGAGATGGCCACATGTGTACTACCCAGTGTGGCAGCCACAAGCCACATGTGGCAGCTGAAATGTGGCAGGTATGATTGAGGAACTGAAATTTTTATTTTGTTGTATTTGTTTGAATTAACTTACAAATTCACTTATTTTTGTAGTAGTGGGGTTGAGCCATAGCATTGCACTGAGCTACATCCCTAGCACTTTCTTATTTATTTTGAGACAGGATCTTACAGAGTTGCTAAATTGGCCAAGGTAAATTCAAATTTGCATTCCTTCAGCTTCAGCCTCATAAAGTTCTGGGATCAGAGGCATGTGTCACTATGCCTGACTTAGTTTACATATATATTTAAACAGCCACTTGTGGTAAGTGGCCACCATATTGTACAGCACAGACAGACAGCATTTCAGGTATCACACAAGTTCTATTGGATAACACTGGCCTGTGTTGAGAATGGCTCTGGGGAATAAAAAGCAAACAGGGCCCAGTGTGGTGGTGCACACTGTAATCTCAGCTACTCAGGAGGCTAAGATGAGAGGCCAGCCTGGGCAATTTAGCAAGACCCTGTCTCAAATTAAGACATAGAAAGAATGGGATTGGAGCAGGACCTGGGGGTGCACATCTGTAATCCCAGCATTTGGGAGGCTGAGGCAAGAGAATCACCTTGAGTTTTGAGGCCAGCCTGAGCTACATAGTGAGTTCAAGGCTAGTCTAAACTATGTAGTGAGATTCCATCTTAAAACACACACACACATACACACACACACACACACACACACACACACACACACAATAAGTAAAAGGGATGGGTGGGGCATGGGATTGTAGCTCAGTGGTAGAGCATTTACATCCACTGGGTCATGTGTTCAGTTCCCAATATCACAAAACAAACAAACACCCAGATGGGTTTAAAGTACCTATCCATATATGGCAGGTACCCATGCAGGGCCATCATGAGCACTGTGATTGGATAAGCCCAGTAGGTCCTTGTTGTCACAAAGAAAGGAATGGGACACCTTGATTTTCTTATCTCAGATGTACTTCTATGAAGCTGGGCTTTCAGGCTGTGCCAGGCCAGAAGCTTGCTGGGGGCATGAGGCCAAGGACAGAGCCTCCTACCATATTCATTGACCTGCGACAGACAGAGCCACTGGAACCACAAGACCAGTCTCCAGAAAGGTACAGGGCAGTGCCCTCCCTGCAGCAGGCTCTCTGCTAGGCAGAGTCACCACTAGCTCCACAAGGCCTAGACTAGGGAGAAGCAGGAACTTGGAAAGACTCAGAATATCGATTATTTGACAAGTGCATTTAATTAGGAGCTGGGGCTGGCCAGTCCCACTTGGTTACCTGAAGAGAGGGAGGGAAAGGAACAGAGGCCAAACTTCATCTAGGCTGGAGTCCATCACTTGTACCCTTCCTCCACTACTTGGCAGGAAGTCCAGTGGTCCAGTGATTTCAGCTGTTACACTTTGGCTGGTTGCCACACCAGGCCTTCAATCCCCAGAGAGACCTGAGTACTACAGGTTGGTGGAGATCAGGCCTGGTAGAGTACATGGGGATACATGCAGAGAACCCGTTTTTTGTTTCACAGCCTCAGCCACAGCTCCTCTGACAGTGGGGAGGAGGAGGCGGAGGAGGAGGAGAAAGAGAACACAGAAGCTCTAGGAGACCAGCAAGGCCCTGCACGGCAGGCATCTCTTTTCTCCTCGGGCCTACGGTAAGCACAAGGGGTCTCCAGCTGCCTTCACCCCCCTGGTATCCTGGCCATCTGGGCTCTCAACCCTGTCCTGCACCTTAAGGACCTGCCCGTGAGAGTGGACCGGAGTCTAGAACCCATGTGAGCCCCACTAGGCCCAGCCTCTATCCCAGGCCTGCCATGCCTTAGCCATCATTGAGGATACCCCAGCTCCTCTAGAGGATAGATTAATATATTCTATTTCTACAAACCAGCTCCCCACTTGCTCTTGCTTCCTGCCACAGGTAGCAATGGAAGTGAAGAGGAAGTGTAGGGATAGAATGAAGTAGGCTTGTTAGCTAGGAATGAAAGGCTTGAGCGAATTAAAGTGTCAAATTCAGAGAGGTGAGGGGGCCCCCCCTGTAGCCTAGGGGTGAATGAGATTCACCCACTGTGGGAGTGGTTTGCGCTGGGAACGTCTGGCCTCAGGTAACTCCACAAACTGCATGATTAGGCATCTCAGGAAAAAAAAAAGCAGGAAGAAAATGGGTGAAGCATTGAACGGGTCCCTTGCTGGAAGCCAGTGACATGGTTCACAGGGCAGGCACTACAACCTCCAACCGTGCATGATGAGACCCAGGGACACACTTGGAACTCACTCTGGTTTTTCCGTTTCAGTCTGGCCCTGGAAGTGTCCCTCTTTCCCTCAGTAGTGCAGCTGGCCGAGGCCATGCTTCCTTGGCAAGGGTCAGGGTGTGGGCGAAGGTCAGAGAACTCCTGCTGGCCTCACTCTGAGACCCCTGAACTGAGCACCTCCTTCCCAGTCTTCCCAGTGCTGATGAGTCAGACCATCAGCACACATACCTGCTCTGCTCTTCAGCAAATGGCTCCATGTCACAAGCCTCGCTGTCTTCATCTGGGACTTCCGTTCCCACTCAAAGGATTCTGGAGTTGGCACATAGAAAGTACTGTCAGTGGCCATGATTTTGTTTCCCAGGCTTTGAGACATTAAGTGTTCTTTCCCTATGCTGTTTGGGAAAGAAGCTGTGCTCCTCCAGATATCTCTTCCTGTAACAACGTTCCTGCTCTGCGTGTTCTATCTAGATTTACCTCTCAATTAGGTTTAACCAGCTAAAACCGAAACTTGGAGGGAACTCAGTGCAGATGGTGTTTTTCTAGTTGCCTTTCCCGCTTGGTGGAAGCCTCTGGGACTTCTGTGAGGGAAGGAATACTCTACCTCTGTGTGGCATCTCTGTGATACTGCCCCCCAGTGGGGAGGAGATGCTACACACCCATCAGTCACTGCGGCCTAACTGAACCCCTGCAGTGGTCAGAGATCACTGAAACCACCAGCTCCAATCCTGGCTTCGCCGCTAGGTTAGGAGACTGGGCCTCCTTCCATGTGGTATTGGCTGAGGTCGGTTTTTCTGTGTTCCAGGGATTGCACTGGGAAGAGTCAACTTCTCCAGCAACTGAGGGCATTTCGGAAGGGCACAGCTCTATCCCAGCTGCCTACAAGCAAGGGTAGCTGTGGCCAGAGAGCTCAGGTCACTGAAAATGCGACTAGATCCAGGAGTGAGAGGAAGGAACATACAAAACCCTGGGCAGAGGGGCAGAGTGCCCAGACCGGACTCCCAAGAGGGCACCCTGGGGCTAGCATCAGTCAAGGAGACCCTGGTGCCTCCTCTGGGCCAGCTATAGGCTCCTCAGGTAAGGAGATCTGGGGTATAAGTTGGGGCGCTCACCCCATCTCCCTGGAGAGTAGGCAGGAGGATCACAGGATCGAGCACAGCCTAGATAACTTAGTGGGACACTGTTTCAAAATGAAAATAGTAAGGGGCTGGGAATGTAGCTCAGTATAAACACCCTAGGTATTAACTCCCCAGTACCACAAAGAGAGAGAGAAAGAAAGAAAGAAAAAATTGATTGGCTATTGCATTGTCATGCATCCACACAAAAGATACAAACACAAATTTGTACATAAAACATGGCAATAAGCCAGGCATGGGAGTATACATCTGTAATCCCAGGACTGTGGGAGGCTGAGGCAGGAGAATTGCAAGTTCAAGCCCAGTTTAGGCAACTTGGTGAATTGAGACTTTGTCTCTAAAAACAAAACAAACAAAATATCATGACAAGAACTCTGGGAAACAAAGCGACCCAATCCTCTGAAGAGCTGGAAGGAAACATGGAGCCACAATGTCATTTGTTCACTGGTAGGACAGTGAGACACCTTCCTCTTTTTCCACTTCTGCATATTTTTTCTTCAATATTATTTCCATCATAGGTATGTGGGGGGGGGGGAGTGTATGCTACTAGACTTGATCTTAGCCAAAAGGCTGAGAAGCGATATGTGTATGGTACTGAAGACCAAACCTAGGAACTTTGCACTCATCTGCTCCTTAGCTCACTTTAAATTTTTTTATTTTGAGACAGAGTCTTGCTAAGTCAGCCTGGCTGGACTTGGACTTGTGATCCTTCTGCCTCAGCATCTCAGAAGTGCTGGGATTACAGGTCTGTGCCACCAGCCAAAAGTCCAAGGCTGAAAGAGATGTCAGCCTGATTTTCTAGGTTCCCAGAGATTTGCTGTTTGTGTATTAAATTAACACACACATAGCCCCACACACATGCACTTCTGTATATGTGCTGCCCAAGTGAGCACAGCACACATGCACTTTTGAAAAAGAAGTAACAACTGAAATTTGCTTTTGTTTTTTTCCTTTACCTAAGATATAGGTACACACAATTTCTGGGGGCCTGCCAGTCTGAAGGCTAGATGCTCTAACACTGAAAACCGTCTCAATACTAGATGAAGGCACCCACCCTCACCAGGAGCAGTGAAAGCTGAGAACCGGCCTGGACAGGAGATGCCTGTTCTCTCTCCACCGTTACTCTGCAAGCTTCACCCCCCCTCACCCCCGCCCCCCCCCCCCACACACAGAGTTTAACAGTACTTTTGTGACTGCCTTCTGAGTCCTGCTAAGCAGAACCTTTGATCTCTTGCTAACTTGTCTCCAGAATGCTGGCCCAGTCTGCCCCATGGAACAGCAGAAAAATCACTTTCATCTGATGCCTTCATGCCACAGGCACAGGAAGCAATGCAGGGTTTGGCTACCACGGTGCTGAGGGGCCCAGGATCCCTTTGTAACAAGTCCTGACCAGGCAGAAGACACTGGCCAGCCTGAGCCAGCGGCAGCATCACACAAATACCATCCACAGGGCCCCATACTCCTATACTTCAGACCCCTCACTTCCAGCCAAAAGGGGCATCGCTACTGCCTTCCACAAAGGCCACACATGGCTCCTCTGGCCCTACAAAAGCTGCTCCTGCAGGCCTAGCCAGGCCACCTCTCCTTGTCCTCCACCTTACTGCAGCTGTCAAAAGCAAAGATGATGATTCCCCCGCCCCATCTTCATTTTCATTTTCTCCTGTCTTCAGGCCTTTTCCCAGCAAGAAGTTCATTTAGAATGTTTCACAGTCATAAACAAACTTTGTTCCAAGTTCAGCTCTGCCTGTAAACTACTGTCTGTCAAGGCAAGTTGGAGGGAAGAGGTGATGAGAGTTCAGACCTGGGTTCAAAGCCAGCTGGGCAGTGTTTATTGCTGTCCTTGCCAGGGCTCCCCACTCAGAACAGGAGTCATGGAAACTGTCTCACAGCACAGGCACCCAGAGTCTGAACCCTTTCATCCAGATCATCAGAGGTGATGGTCGTCAGAGCAGCAGCAGCAGCAGCCATGCCCAAAACAGCCCCTGCAGTAGGCGGACAGGAGGGCTCTGTAGGAGATGCCCACTGAGGTGAGGACAGCTCTGTGGCCAGCATCCTGCAGAATCCCAGAGACAGGATCGACACAAGCCCAGGCCTTGGTGAGACAGGAGAGAAGGGCTTGATGCTTTCTAAACACCTTGCAGCCAGCCTAGCTGCATCGGGCCTTTCAGTTAAACTATGTCCCCACCCCAGCTCCCCTTTTCATTGAGTCGGCCCTTCAGAATGCCAAGAAGGGTGTTGCTTAGTGAGCCTCAATGCCACGTTTGTAGAATGGGGGTAGGGATGGAATTCAAGCAGGGGCCTGCTGTTAAACTGGGAGGGAGAAGATGATAAAAAAGAAGAATGCTATGCACATGCACCAGCTCCTCCAGAGGAATGTGATTATTATGTACTGCAGACACATACTAATACATTTTAAAATTTAAATGATAAACTTTAATATTCTGTAAAAAAGAATCAAGTTTAATAATTTCTCAAAAAGAGATTTATGACCCAGCAACGCCACTCATAGGTGAGCAGCTGGCTCCTAAAAGAGGCCCAGTGCCAGCTACTCACACTCTAAAACTCATGTATAACTTTCTTTCCCCCTTGTTACTGGGGATTGAACCAAGGGCCTCATGCTTGCTAGGCAAGTGCTCTACCCTCAGCTATACCTCAGCCCTTTTTATTCTTACGGTACTGGGGACAGAACTCAGGACCTTCACGTTGAGCTGAATCCCCAGTCCTTTTTATTTTGAGATAGGATCTTGCTAAATTGGCCAGGTGTGGTCTGGGGATGTAGCTCAGTGGATGAGTGCTTGCCTAGCACACACAAGGCCCTGAGTTCAATCTCCAATACCACCTAAGCACAAACAAAAAAGAAACGTCTGGGCTGGGGATTTAGCTCAAGGGTGTAAGCCCTTGCCTGGCAAGTATGAGGCTGTGAGTTCGATCCCTGGTACCAAATAAGTAAATAAATTGGACAGGCATGGTGGTGCATCGTGGTACATGCCTGTAACCCCAGCAGTTAGGAGGCTGAGGCAGGAGGATCACTGTGAGCCCGAAGTCAGCATGGGCTATGTAGGCAAGTTCAAGCCCAGCTTGCACTACATGGTGATACTGTGTCTCAACCCCCACCCCAATAGCTAAATTACCCAGGCTACAGTAGAATTTCAATCTGTTTAGCTTCCCCACAGTGCTGGGAATATAGGTGTGCGCTCCACACCAGCTTATTTTTATTTTTTATCTACATTCTCAGTCTCACCAAATTGCTAAATTGCCCAGGTTAGATTAAACTCGCAGCCAGGTGTGGTGGTGCACATCACAATCCCAGCATTCAGGAGGCTGAAGCAGAACGTCATGGTTTATGTCAGTGGCCCCCAAACCTCATGCAATTATGCATTTGTGATTGGTTCATTGTCTAGCGCTTGGATTGGTGGTGTGCGTACTATACCCGCCTAGGGGTGGAGTTGGGATATGATGTAATGGTGGGAAGAAGCTGTGTCTTGCTGTCCTGTGGGTTTTCACCTTGCAGCTTGCAGCTGCCATGAACTGTGGCCCAACCATGCCACCCTGTCTTGGAACCAACTGAACTGTAAAAAATAAACTTTTCTTCCTTCAGTTTGGGTGTTGGGTATTTTGTCCCAGCAAGGAGTAAAAAAGTAACTAAAACACAGAAGGATTATTGCAAATTTGAGACCAGCCTGGGCTACAAAATGAGCTCAAGGTCAGTCTGAACTGCATAGTGAGACAGTTTCAAAAGGACAAAAAAAGAAAAAGAAAAAAGATTCAAACTTGCAAATTCCCCTGCCTGAATAGCTGGGATTACAGGTGTGACTATCACATCGACTTGCTAATATTTCTCTTGACTGTGAACAGTGTATGTATGGTCTGTAAATGTTGATGTGCATATGTTTTGATAAAGTTTAACTTTTATAATTCACTTGTGTATATTTTATGGTAGTTAATGATAAAACAGATGGTTACCTAGATATATTTTATGCCTTCACGACATAGCTTTTTCTTAGTTTTTTTTAAAAATAATTCTAGACTGCAGTTCACTAGTTTTTTTCAAAACATTGTAAAACAAAAAACCCCTCCACGTTAAGTGCTACCTTTAGACAAACCCTGGGTTTTATTTTGGTGATGCAGATTATAGGACCTTTAGAACTGGCGCCTATGGAGTTGTCAGCAGCAAGTCCCAGCAGATTAGGCAGGGTCAGGTGGCCTCGGATTTGGAAAGGCTGGCCCTGTTTGCAGAGGTATGGGGACAATCTGACAGCTTTCAGCTCAAGGGAGGAAAGGATGGTTTTGTATTTATTTTTATCTTTTGCTGTTATTAGTCTCCACTAATAGTGTTTATGACTTTCAGTAGGTGCTGGACAAAGTGTGTTATTAAAGAAATTTGGGTGCTGAGAATTTTAACCCTTTTGTCACTGTATTTTTCCTGATGGATCAGAAAGTCAAATTATTATAAGGGATGAAGTGGTCACAATTGTAACTATTTTGAGCTGAGTGGAGACACTGTTAGGGGCCTTTTTGCATTTGCTGATTATCAGAAGTAGAGTGACTTTGAGCTCAGAGCTGAGACCCAAACTGGGCAATGAGACCTAGATGGGCTTTGGTATTAGGCTTACGTGTTGGTCCGAGGCCTGTTACTGAGAACTTTAGATTCCAGAAGAAATAAACTGCAGAAGATGGTTATAAACATTAATCAAAGAGAATTATTTAAGAATAATTATTAGTAGCCACTTTTATGGACAGTCAGGAAGGCTGACTTGTCTTTTAGTAGCCTGAGACAGGAGTCAATCTTAGTTTATTATTTGCCAGGACCCAATGTAGGCTGTGTATAACCCAAGAACGCTTTTTTACCTGATATTTGACCTGTAGTTTGACTTATTTTTTCCCTTAACAGACCAAATCTTTATTCTCCAGGGCCCTGGTTGTGGAGAAGCAAGATTTGGTCTGTTAAGGGGAAAATCACAAGCCTGGGAGAGGCTGCCAAGTTATGTGGCTACCTTAGGAGTCTAGGAGAACGAGATGCTAATGCTTCAGACTTGCCTTCAGGCCCAAGGCCTAGCAGCAGGGCAGAATAGCCCTGTAGCCTCTCCACAAGGATTTACTGAGTGCCCACTGTATACCAAGCACAGTACTGGGCGTCTAATACAGCCCATCCTGATTCCCACCTTCAAACACACTGCAGGACCAAGTTCTGGGAGGGCAGAGACTGGTGCCTTTCCTGCCATCTCCCAGCTCCTAACATGGGTCGCATGCAGAGCAGGGGCTCGGAATAGCACTAACAGGACTCCGCAGGCAGGCGGCATGCACAGCAACTAGGAGAACATTCAGTACAGGCTTTGCCTTTCACAAGTTACCTCATTTGGGGATGATTAAATTTCTTGTGCTTCGAGTGGCCCAGTGGCAATAGGGGACAATAAAAGTACCTCTTTCCCCTGGCTGTCATGAGCTCTAAATGATTCACTAATGTGAAGCACTTAGAAAGTGCTCCCAAGGAGGGGCTGGGGATTTAGCTCAGTGGCATAAACAACTGCCTTGCAAGCAGGCAGTTGTGAGTTCGATCCCTGGTACCGAAAAAGACAAAAAAAAAAAAAAAAAAAAAGAAAGTGCTCTGAAGGGATAGCACATTCAGGATGATCAGAAATGCAATCCTGCAGGAAGGCGGTTTGTTTTCAGTGAGAGGTATTGCATCCACGGTGGGCAAGGCCAGTCCTTGGGCATGTTAACAATGATAATTTGTAAGCCAGGCGTGGTGGTTCACGCCTGTAATCCCAGCACGCGGGAAGCTGAGGCAGGAGGATCGTGTGAGTTTGATGCCAGCCTGGGCTACAAAGTGAGTTCAAGGTCAGCCTGAACTGCATAGCAAGACTCTGTCTCAAACAGACCAAAAAAAAAAAAAATATATATATATAGATAGATATAGATATGTACACACTACACATGTAGGTCTGTGGTTTATGGTATTAATATCTCAAGGTGTGGGAGACGGTGGGAGAAAATCTCAACAAAGGCTCCTTAGGGGATAGAAATAAAGAATTAACTTAGACCAGCTGCCCAGTGGTTACACTCGGCAACCAGGCTGTCAGGGTGTAAAATCTCAAATCTAGGACAGATTTACTGTATGGCCTTGGGCAAGCTAGTTAACCTCTGATTTCAAAACCCTCTTCTGTAAAACTAAGTAACAATATTTACCTTTTAGGCCTGTTTGGAATAATAAATAAGTCCATATGCTTAAAATGGGGTTACACTCATAAGTCTCCCACAAATATTTACTCTAGTATTTACTTAATATTGTAATTATTATTATTATTTTGTACTCAGAATCAAACTGAGGACCTTGCACTTGCCAGACAGGTACTTTGCTGCTGAGCTATATCCTTGGCCCCTAATACTTGACCAATTCATTTTGTTTCTTTCTTTTTTTGGTACTGGGGATCGAACTCATGACCTCACCCTTGCTAGGTAGGCTTTTATGCCCTGAGCTAAATCCCCAGCCCTCTTTGACTAATTCATATTGTAGGTCCTGCATGCCTCCTCCATCACCTCTCTAATAAGCTGTGTCAGCATTATCATTATTATTATTATTATTATTATTATTATTATTGTTATTTTGGTTCTTTTAGACAGGGTCTCACTATACAGTTCAGGCTGGCCTTGAACTTGTGGAGTTCCATGTGCCTTAGCCTCCCAAGGGCTGATGACAGACATGTATCACAACACCTGGCTCATGTGTGCCACCACTTTTTGCAGAACATTTAACTATCTACATATGTATAGTTCATCTCCTCTCTGCTGGGCATAGGCTCTGCCTGTCTGTCTTTATGCAGTGGATGATGTATACAATTTAGCAGGTTGTGCACTGCATACAAAGACACCAGATCCAACAGGTACATTGGTCACACCCTACTGTCCCAAATTTGTGCACTTACTAGGATGGTTTCCCAGCAGACAGCAGTCAAGCATCTGGTCCTGAAAATACCTGTGTATGATGACTGCTCTGTTCTAGAGGTGGCAGACAGCATTTTGAGGAAGGAATATCTAATTCCAACAAAGGTGCCCAGTGGACTAGAGGACTGCCCTGCTCAGTGCCAGGCACAAGGCCTGCACATATCAGGCTCAGTGAAAGCTAGGTAAAGGAAATACAACACTCCCCTTCCTACAGGCATGTGGAGACCACGTTCTCTGCAGTGGTTCAGCACTGCCCAGTAGGCCTGCAGGGCCAGGGAACACGTGGACGTGCAGGCCATCCCAGCAGCTCCTGGGCACCTGCAGGAAGATGGCAGGCATCAGCCTTCCCCTCTAGCTGCTACCAAGGAGCACCCCAAGATGGTGCCCCATGCCAGGGCAGGGCCCCCATGTTCTGCCCCCACCCTGCTGACCTTACTAGAGCCTCATCTGCAGGTCTAGTTCCGCTGCTGGCTGAGTGTGAGATGCCGTGTGACCTCCAACTCTTCCTGAGCCAGGGCCTCCTCTTCAGCTGGTAGAAGCTTAACCTAGAGTCACATCAGCCCCTGGACTTCATCTTGCTACTCGAATCACAGCACTGCACCTGCCTGAAATAAGGCAGCTGGATAAAATGGGGTGACTGACTAGTGCTATCTGCCACTAAACAGGCCACTGCAGACGGGGGAGTTGCATGTGCCCTGTGCGTAGGCAGTGACAGGCTACCCAAAACCACTGCCACTCCCTCCACTCATTCAGTAAGCGCCACTGAGGGTCTGCCCACTGTAGTAGGCCCAACACTATGCGAAATGGATAAAGGAAATCTCAGCCAACCACAAGGAGGTGCCTGTGCACATCTATTAGAATGGCTTTTAAAACGTTCACTCTCAAGTTCTGGAGAAGACATGGATCAACAGGAATGCTCAGATTCTGCTGGTGGAGGTGCAAGATGGTTCCGCAACTCATCACACAGCCTGGCAGTTTCTTACTCAACCCCCAACACCACTCCAGGGACTTAACCAAGAGGAATGAAAATATGTGTTCTCACTAAGTCTCTGTGTTATTGGTTATAAAGAGTAAATAAAACCACCACAAACTGGGCACACCTGAATGTGAGCCAAGGAATCACCCCATCCTAAATTCTACATTGCAAGTACCTGACCTCAGAGAATACCTCGGGCCTAGGTAAACTAGGACAGCTGGTCACCCTGTAAACAAATGAGCAAACCAGTGCATCCTATGGTAAAATAAAGGAAGAAACTGCCAGTAAATGCAACAAGATGTGCAAATCTTCAAATGCACAGTAGTATATGACACAGGTTGATTCAAAAGATTACATTCAGTACAATTCCATTTATGCAACTTTTTGGAAAAGACAAAACTATAATGACACCAAACAGATCAGTGGCTGCCAGGTGTGGGACTTGTGGCTGGGGCTGACCACATAGGGGCCCAGAGATCTTTCAAAACTGCTAGCAACTATCCTATAATTGATTATAGAGATAGTAACATGGCTGGTCACTTCTGTCAAAAACTCACAGAAGTGAGTGCTAAATAGATAAATTATGATTTATTTATTTATTTATTTTGGTACCGGGGATGGAACTCACAACCTCACACTTGCCAGGCAGACACTTAGGCCACTGAGCCAAATCACCGGC